CGGTGCATCTTCAGGTTTGTGCATGCTGGAAACTGAAGACGTGTCTGCATGCTTCTGTTGTTTGCATGGACATAATTGCATACATAATGCTCTGGTTTTCTCCAGCTCACGGCTGTGCTTGCATTCGGGACCTGTGGAGGATATACCGGCAGAAATGTGGTTTCCATCATCTGCGGCGGAAGCAGCAATGAAACCCTCAGTGCCACTTTCACCTACCCATTCAGGTTTGGCCCAGTTACACTCTGAAATTGGCAAGTAAAACACTGAATGAAATGTGAAATTGTAGAGTAGAAAGACTGTAGGTAACATACTCCAATAATCTTTTTGTTTACAACTTTTTACAGTGTAATATAAACTCTTTCCAGGGTTATTTTTATTTACTAAAACTATCAAATTTTTTTTGGGATAATTGAAATAAAGCTGAAATAAAATAACAAATATAAGATGAAAAGCTTAAACTAAATGAAAAATTAGATATGAGAAACATAACTAACTAACATAACTTTTTAAAAAAAAATTAAAAACTGAACATATAAAAATAAGACCTAATTCAATATATTAAAGGAGTAGTTCGCCCAGGAATTAAAATGTACTCATCCTCAGGCCATCCAAGATGTAGATGAGTTTCTTCATGGAAACAGATTTGGAGAAATGTAGCATTCCATCACTTGCTCACCAATGGATGCTCTGCAGTGAATGGGTGCCATCAGAATGAGAGTTTAAACAGCTGATAAAAACCTCACAATAATCCACAGCACTCCAGACCATCAATTAATGTGTCGTGAAGCCAAAACCTGCATGTTTGGAAGAAACAAACCCATCATTAAGACGATTTTAACCAGCTAAAATATGAGTCCTCTATTCATAATATTGCTTTTTCCAGTGAAAAATCGTTTCATCTGAATCAGGAGAGAAATCTGCACAGATCAAGCACTGTTTACAAGCTAAAAACAGTCCAAAACTGTAGGTGGATTTTGATGTTGGAGGAAAACAGCATTATGATGAATTATAGGCTCATATTTTGTCCGGAAGCGACGGTCTGAAGTTAAAACACCTTAATGATGAATTTGTTTCTTACAAGCACGCAGCTTTTTTGCTTCTCAGGATGTTAACTGATGGACTGGAGTGATGTGTGGATTACTTGTGATGTTTTTATCAGCTGTTTGGACTGACGGCACCCATTCACTGCAGAGGATCCATTGGTGAGCACTGATGTAATGCTACATTTCTCCAAATCTCTTTGTGTTTTTATACCTTCATTTGCAGGTTAAACCAGGAGCTGCTGGTGGAGAGCAACAACACTCTTTGCAATCGCACAGTTCCTGCAACCCATCTTGTAGGAGACTCGTCGTCCTCGGTGGAGTTTTTCGTGGCTGTGGCCATCTTGGCTTTCCTTTACTCAATGATGGCTCTGCTGGTCTATCTGGGCTACATGCATGTGTACAGAGACTCAGACTTCGGCCCTATGTTTGTGAGTATGCAACTGGCAGATGAGCTTGAAGTTTGCATGCAATATGCATTTGAATATCATGACTCAGTTGCTTTTAAGGGAAAATTCTATTTATAATATTTCTGTCTGTATCTGCTAGGATTTTGTGCTGACAGCAGTCTTTGCGTTCCTGTGGCTGGTGTGCTCGTCTGCATGGGCTCGAGGTCTGCAGACGGTGAAGGACGCCACCAGTACGGCTGGCATTGAATCCACTCTGGCGCTCTGTACGGACAGAGATGTCAGATGTGAAGTCACTGATTACGCCAGCATGCGCTCGCTCAATATATCTGTGGTAAGAAATTACATTAACCAATCAACTGTATTTTTTCACTGTTTATTATCATGCTGATTATCAATTTTTTAACATCACCAAAAAAGGTACATACCCCTAACATAGCGATGCAATCTTAAAGACAGTGTTAAACTGCATTTGCAATGTATTTAACTTCCTTAACGTCTAATTAAAATGAAAAGGAACTTTATTCACTGGCATGTGATGCTTTTGAAGTATGTACACTGGACCAACAGTTTGGAATTTTTACAAGTTTTTGAAAGAAGTCTCTTCTGCTCAACAAGGCTGCATTTATTTGATCAAAAATGATGAAATATTATTACAATTTAAAACAACTGTTTTCAATTTGAATATATTGTAAAATGCATTTTCTTCAGAAATCATGCTAATATGCTGATTTGCTGCTCAAAAAACATTATTATCAATGTTGAAAACAGTTGTGCTGCTCCATATTTTTGTGGAAACTGAGATACACCACCATTCAAAAGTTTGGGATAAGTACAATTAAAAAAAGAAATTAACTTATTCTCCAAGGATGCATTCAGTTGTTGAAAAGTAAGAGGAAAGACATTTATAATGTTGCGAAATCTATTCTATTCATCAAAAAACCCTGAAAAAAAAAAAAA